ACCCAGTAGCTAGAACTGTGCGGCATACTGGTCCCCGAATTTGGGGAAGTGATTTTTCTACGCTGTACTTGGATAGGGAACATTCTTTCAAAATTGCAGCCCTTCAGGTTCCCTGGGTCCGGAGCTAGCCATTTTCCCACCAAAAACTTTCACAGGGCCGTACCACGTGAGAAACACGCATGCCCGGGGGCTGAATTTGATAAATTTAAGTTGTACGTGGGCTGGGAAGATTCCCTTAAAATTTCAGCCTCCCAGCTATCCCGTATCCTAAATCAGCGATTTTCCAGCCAGGAACCCTCACGGGGCCGTACGCGGGAACTGCGCACACCTCGAGGCTAAATTTGAAATCTTTGAGTTCTATCTGCACGGAGAACACAACCTCAAAATTTCAGCGTTCTAGCTTTTTTGGTTCCCGAGTTAGCGATTTCCCAGCCAAAAATTTCACGCTCTCATACACGGAGTCTAGATATACGTTACGGTTGGTACCGCGGTCCTGAGGTGGCACTTGACCGGGAAGCCCACTCACAAAATTTTGGCGCCGGGGCTTGCTCGGGTGCCGAGTGGAAATACCCGGACAGAGACACACACACACACACACACACACACACACACACGCACACACACACATACACACACACCGGGACCGTCGCATTATGCGTTTTCGCATTTGCATATATGCAAAAACGCATAATTACCATTCTTAATATATTCTAGATCGCTGTGGGATTTGTTGCAGAAAATTTGCATGATACTAGGCGGTCCTTTGCAGGCCAGAAGAGCTGTTGTTGAAGGCTTTTAATTCGACATCGCAGGAGGTGAAAACTGCTGCTTCGTATGCGCTGGGCCGGCTTGCTATTGGAAATCTGGAAAAATACCTTCCATTCCTGCTAGAACAAATCAACTCTCAGCCAAGACGCCAGTATCTTCTACTTCATTCCCTTAAAGAGGTTCTCGCCTGCTTTTCCTGATATCTGTAAAATTTATGCGTTGTTTATTTGCTTTCTAAGGGGCCTACATAGAAAAAGGCACGATGGGACTGTTTCGGAGCAGTTGCACAGTTTTTTTTTTTCTGGCCGGAGGAAGGGGGAGGGAGTTTCTTCCCTCAGTTGGGTTTCTTACAAAATGTGTCTCCAAGAGACTGTTTGTTTGTCGGATTCGCTTCCCGTTTTTTCTTGTCGTCCAAAGCTTTAGTGTTTTAGGTCATTGGTTCAGAAAGTGGAGACTTACGAGCAGTGGAAATCTTCCGTCCAAGGATTGAGCAGATTTGGCCGGTTTTGGCAGTCCATGCAACGGCACCAGAAGAAGGCACTCGAAATGTTGTTGCTGAGTGCCTGGGCAAATTGTGCCTCGTTCATCCAGAACAGCTGCTCTCGCGGCTTAAGGTTATTCGATTGCCAAATAAGTTTAAGGAGGTGTTTTCACCGTTTCCGCGCTTTGTCACCTTAAATGAGCAGTTGGTTCTCTTAACTTCTTTCCACAGAAGAGTGTTCTTAAATTAAAAATAAATAGCGGCACGCACCAGGGCAGCTGGAGCGATCATGCGTTTTGTGCAATTCCGTTCACTGAGCGATTGTGCCTGCTAATGATTTTCACTGCTTTGCACTTTGGTCTGTGCAAAAATAGTTGAAATGTTGTCTGGCTCTTAAATTGCGGAATTTCCCACGAAATTTCACGCACGCGAGATAATAACTTCTCCGTCAGAACTCTCACGGGGCTGTACGTGGTACCCAGGGGTGGGCGAAGGCTGAGTCCAAATTTGCGACGTCCTACGTTTGTAAAAGAGATCATCTTAAAATTTCAGGTTCTCAACTTCCGCGCTCCCCGAGATAATAATTTTCCCCGCCGAAACTTCCACGGGGCCGTAAGTGATACCCGAGGGCGTGGGAACGCTGAATTTGAATAGGCAGGGTCGAGCGTGGGCAGAAGGTCATTACCTTAAAATTTCAGCTCCCTAGACTCCGTGGTTCCGTAGACAATAATTTACCCGTCAAAAATTTTCACGCGGCCTTACATGTTACTCGCGGGCAGGGGAAAGCTGAATTTAGATTTTCTGAGTAGCACATGGGCGGAGGGCATGCTTTTTCTAGCTCCCGTGGTCCGCGCGATAACAGTTTTACCCGCCCAAACTTTTACGGGGCCGTACTTGTTACCCGCGGTTACGGGGAGGCTGAATTTAAATTTGCTGTGTCACACGTGGGTGGGGGACATTCCCCTAAATTTTTAGCTTCCTAGCTTTCGTGGTTCCCGAGTTGAAAGTTGCGGACAAGTCTCTGTGGACACACGCACACACACAGTCAACCCCGTAACAATATGCGTTTTGTACTGCTGTTACGCAGCACAAAACGCATAAAAAAAAATTGGCCAACGCACGGGCTGCCCGTGCGAAGATGCGTTTTTTGCAGAGTTCCCCGCAGCTTGTCGTTGCCGGCACCGGTTTTTCCGGCAGACGCTTCTAGCTGAAAGAATTTCAGACTGGCCGTCAGAACTGTCAGGAAAAATCCCCTCAAAATTCCAGTCTTCTAGCTTCTCACGTTCTCGAGTAAGTAACTTACCCGGAAAGAACTTTTCACGGCCCTGTACGTAGGTACCACGCTTACCCGCGGGCACTGTTTGAACTCGTTGATACCCACTTAGACAGGGAACACCCCCCTAAGATTTCAGCTTTCTAGCATCTC